TGAAACCTTCAGATAGCTGGCCGAAAACAGGAGTGTGTGAGTGCAATATATAAATAGATCTGTTTGCTGCGTGAGGCGGTGCTGATCTTCCAGATTGGCACCAACAATTGGCAGCGTCAGGGAGAGTTCGCTCCTGGTAGTGGCATTTTGCATGCTTCGTTCCATGAGAGCATGAACAACATGCCGGGCGTGAAGAGTTACTCCATCTACCCAAGCAAGAAGCAAACGAATCCCGAGGATGATCCAACCTTCAGAGTCTTCAAGATTGAACACGACATCCCCATTTGTGAGTCGGTGAGCCCGAATTCCTCCTACAGGTGGCACTCCATGACTGAGGAGCAGTACGATGCCTATCTCAAGCGCCTTGAGAATGAAATCTGTGAATTCATGGATGCGGTCGAGGCCAAGGAGTGCAAGGAGTTTGACTATCTCATTTCCCACCATGCCTTCACCAATGCCATGACAGCAGCTCAAATCGTTGAGAGGCGGCACAAGGAGGGCAAGACCAAGCTGAGACACTTCAATTTTGTGCATGGCACCGCCTTGAAGATGTACATCAAGGAGAAGGAAGGTGATCCAGAATATCCCATGCGCTTCTTGACCAAATGCCAAGGAAGCGGGGTTTTTGATGGCCTCAGCAAAACGTCAGGTGTGTGGGTGAATTCGGAGGACTACATCGGGAAGTTCTTGGATTGTTTCCCCAACTATCCCAAGGAGAACTGCGTCTTCTCGTGCACGGGCGTGAACCAAGAGACCTTTTGCCCGAAGGGTACAACGGTGGCTGCCGATCTGTCCACATTCCTGGCGGAGGAGGACACAGAAAGAGGGGCAAGATCATTGGGTCTTTTCCTTTTGAGATTGTCAACTGTAGCTGATTTCTCGTTGTTTCGATTCTTTTGGTGGAATCTTGAAGAAAGAGCTTTGACACAAGAGCATCAAGGCGAGCCCAAACATGACGAGTTCCGACATCACGTCTAATTCTTCCCAGTTCGGTCACGTTGTTTGGGTTTTGGCACATGGAGAGGGAAAACACCTTCACAACAGCGGTCACAGGATCGGCAGAAGGTGGCCAGCATGAAGCGCCTTGTGACCTTCGTCGGGAAGTTCGTCGATTGGAAGCGCCTGGATGCGGTGCTCTACGCTGCCCAGCAGTATGAGGCAACTTGACGTCAAGGGACACCTGGAACAATAAGAATGCGGACACGTGCGGAAGGACGACAGGGAACCCATTCAAAGATCTGCTAATGATCACAATCAATATAAGTCATGCGAAGAAAAGCTCTGTGGAATTGTTTTTCTTCTTGACCCCTTTGGACCAACAACGACATGTCGAGGCCAAGTTTCCGGATGTGGGTACGGCGATCGTTGGCACTGGGCCACCTGATGCAGTGGAGAAGTACCACACAATGGCGAAGACATTAGGACTCGAGCGAACGGTTTTCCTGGGGCCAAAGGGTTTCTTGGCGAGCACATCGAACTGTGGATCACTAGGTTGGATGACATGATGTGATAACTATCCTCGGATGAGTGAGCTTATTAGGTGCTTCCTTCTTTTGGAGGCTCTTCCCAAATATGAATACTTACTTCCACAAAGTCTGTGAGGTGAACAACCACTAGCGAAGCTCTTCTCCATGTCAGAGGTGGGCATATTCCCGTCCTACAATGAGTCCTTCGGCAAGATCTTTCTCGAATGCATGGCCTGTGGATGCCCCACCATTGGAGCCAACAGCGGAGGCCCCAAGGAGTTCGTGAAGCCCGAGCAGGGGGTCCTCGTTGAAGAAGAGCCAGAGTGGCGCTCCGAGGAAGGAATGCAGAGGCGACCTCAGACATTTCACTCTTCTCTGTTTTGCCCTTGACGCACGACCTTTCAATGAATGGTTTAAATATGGTTGCTTTTGCTGCTTGGTTCGTTAATGTCGCAGCGATTTGCAACAGGCTGGGTGGAAAGGTGGCAGCCCAAGTCATCAAGGCGCAGGGGAACATGTTTGCAACACGTATCAACACATGATTCGTTGAGCAGTCTCATGTCCAGGCTGAGACAGCACTATATGCGGTTTTGTCTTTGATGCTCCTTGTCATGAGCTGCAGCTTGCGGCTTCAATCACACCCGGTAAACCCCTTGGGAAAGGTCCAGGCCCAGACTTCACACGCAATCTTCCTTCGCTACAAAAATGCTTGCCTCCCCCAATGATCGATACATAAACTGGTATCTCGAGCACTATTCATGTTTTGTACAGGGACCTTCTCCTTCTAGTGGCAACACTTGAAGATCCTTAACAACATGATGAGTCTTTCAGTCTTTGTCAGTTTAGATCTCCAGCGGAGGCGCTGGAAGAAGACTGGAAGAAGACAAAGGGAGCGGGCTGCGTTGGCTTCGTGACCAAGAACTTCTCAACCGTGGCACAAGTTGAAGGCATGCTTGCAAACATGAAAGAGTGGTCACGGGCCCGCGCTTTTTTGTTGAGACAGGACTGAGCGATGTTGTGTTTGTTGGGGCGTGGTGATTGCAGGCTTGACTCAAGCCAACAAGTTTTAATCAGTGTGTTGTCATATCGAAGTTGTGCGTAAGCAAAGCCTGCGCGCGCGTAAGGCTGCGTAAGCTTTTTGTAAGGACACCTTTTGCGTAAGCCATGCGTAAGCTTTGAAGAAATACATGATAAATACGTGAGCAACCCCTCTCAGAAGTGCTAGGACTAAGGAACAGTCCAACTCCACACACACACACATACACAATCCAAGCTCGAATTGCTGAACACACTTCGACATTGGTTTTCAGTTACACTCAGTTACCACGATGGGAAGGAAGGTGAGGGAACGGAAAGGTGCATAAGTCCGCAAAACCGTATTGTTTAACATTGTTCACAAGTGGCCTCGAAATCGATCTGTACAATCAGTGCGGTGACGAGCTCAGCTGCAGGAAAGTGGGTTTGGGGGAGGAAGCATGAACGACCATGGAAACAAAAAAGCGGTAGTGGACAGCTTGACCAAAAGTTCACGTTGCAGGTACAGGAATGTGCGTCCACATTCCCTTCCGGCTGAATCCCATAGCTTCGTTGGCATGGCTAGGGAAACAGCTGCCATGCCCCCTGCTTCTGTCTTGGTGGAAAAAGGTGGCGAAAGTGGAAAAGTCGGTGGTGGTGAACCCTTGGCCCGGGGGTTGACACACACACAACAAGCCGCAATCGGCGCAAAAAACCAAAGCAGTGGAGAACGGACCTTTTCTCAAAAACCGCCTGCGCGCTTGCAGGTCGTGCCCTTTTTGGGCGTATAGTTGGATCAGCGCTTCTGCCGCAGCGGTGGCGTTGTGAGGTGGAAATGTGTATGTATAGATGGCGTGGAGTCTTGAAGCTAAGCCGGACAGAGCCAAGCGCTGGCTACCGGCGCTGGTGTGGTCCCTGATTTTCCAGGGTTGGGTGGGTTGCATGTAGGTGATGGTGCGTTGCTGGAGGTCAATGTTAAAGCCCAAGATGTGAAAGTCATCCACCGTTTCCAATTCGACGGGATCGCCGAAAAAGTTGTTGTGGATGAGGGTCTGGATTGCTGGATGTGAAAGGAAGTGTTCGTTGTGAACAATGAAACGGTTATCCACATATCGATAGTATGTGAAGTGAAGGGCAGTGTGTTGAAGGAGGTTGTTGTGGAGCTGGTGCCATGAATGTTCAATGCGAGTGATGGCGACGTTGCAGAGGGCAGGGGAGAGCTGGGAGCCAATCCCAGCCCCCCGAATTTGCTTGTAAGTGTTGTTGCATGCCCGAAAAATGCAGGTGTCGAGTGCGTATGCCACAATGGTTGGGATATCTGCGGTGTGGATGGTGCGTTGTGTGGGGTGGCGTAGGTGTTGCCTGCCAATGTGGGGGTGATGGAAGGGATTGCCAGCGGCTTTGGTGTCGACTGTAAGAGTGTGGGTGTGGTTCTGATGTTGCCATTGCTGAATCAGTGAGTGAACGGCGTCAATGAGGCGGTGCTGAGGGACGGAGTTGAAGAAGCCGACGAGATCGTCGTTGGTGGCGTGTAGGGGGATGTCCGGAGGTGTGTCGGTGAGGTAGCAGTGGAAATGGGACCAAAGCTGTGGAATGGATAGTTGACCTGGGTGTTGGGGGAGGAGGTGTTGTAGTATAATGTCGAGTGCTCGGCTGGTGATGCGGAGGAGATTGCCGCTCAGGGACTGAAAGTATGAGATGATGGTGCGGCCTTTCCTCCATTGCTTCTTTTCCTTGAGGTGAACGATGCCGTATGGGATCGTGAAATCCTTTCTGAAGCCCCATTTGTAGCGTGTGCGGAGGTTGGAGGGGATGGTGTGTAGCAAGTATTCGTGGATGTTTGAGGGGTGGAGTGTTGGCATGGGTGCAAAGAGTTCGGGTGACTGCCAGGTGGCGAGTGCCCCGGTGAAGTATTGGCGGGGGCAGAAAATGCGGAGTTGTTGTAGTTCGTGATCAGCGTGGTGAAGAACAACTTGGTCGCCCAGGAATTCCTGGAGTTGCCATAGAAGGCGAGCTGTGAAGCGGGGTTGCTGTTTTAAATGGTTGGTGTGGAGCTTCCACTGGTGCTGGAGGAAAGGCTCCAAGTGCTGTGTAAGGGATGGTGGGAGGCCTTGTATTCGCAACCATTTTGTGAAAGCAGTCTGAAAGGAAAGGAAGTATCTGGCTTTGCTGGGGTAAAAAGTGCTGTTCATATTGGCTGCCAGGAAGATGCGGAGATGTGGTGGTAGTGTAAGTTGTTCAAGGGTGAGGATGTAATGTAATGGTTGTCGACTGTGGGTGTAGTTGGATCGAGAAGAAGGGTTTGTAGGTGGGCGCAGGCACATGGTGGTCGTTGGAGGTCGGAGGGTTAGGCAACGTACCCTCCCAGGTACGGTGGTTGTGAAGGTGTGCCCTGAGAGTCTTGTGGGCTGCTTCCCGCAAACGGTGAGTGGGCAGGTGGAGCGGGATGGCCAAGTGTTTGTGGTGTTGTATGGTTGTTTTGAGCCACTGTTCGCAGTGCTTGGGAAACTGGTCGTGAGCCAGAAATGGTATGGTGAGTGGGATGTTGGGCTTGGGTGGACTGAGGTTGCGGTACTTGAGGGCCTGGTTGATGATGTGTAGTGCTCTGCTGCGGCCTGGTTCTTCCAAGTTGGAGGCCATGCGTCGGATGGCGTAGACTTCCAGGTCTGTATGTTTGCCGCTGCGGAGTTGTTTGGCTGCTTCGAAGGATGCCAGTGTGTGTTTGGTGAGGTTGCGGAGGAGGGTGAGAGCGTGTAGTCGAGTGGAGGTGAAGAGATGGGGTTCGCGAATGGCATGTTGCCGCCTGCGAAGCTTGCGGAACAGTCGCTTGTGTGTGGCCAGGCGAGAATAGAAGTGGGCGCGGTGCTTTGTGAATTGCCAACCTTGAGCTTTGAGCTTAAGGTGATGGGAGATAAAAGGCCAATTGAGAGGTGGCATCCAGTTGGAGATGAGGTAGTGTTCTTGGATCCAAGCTTGGTCGTAGGTGTCGTGAGAAGAGAGTTGAATGGGTGTGAAGTGGTGAATATTGTTGTGAGAATGCCAGTAGCGGAGGGAAAGTTCCGCTGAAATGGGAATGTTGTTTTGCAGTTGTTTGAGTTTGGCACGACGGTTGTGTTCCCTATGTGGGATGCCAATGCCAGTGGAGCCGATATAGAAATGGCCATGCTGGTGATAGCAGCGGTGAGGTGTGGTGGGGTTGAGGTAGAGTTTGACATACACAGCGTTGGGAGAATGAAAATTGTGGTAGTGATAGGTGTGTGGTTGTATGTGGAGGTGCTGAAGTCGCTGACGCCATTGTTGTGAGCGTTGTGTAGAGGAGGGGTAGCAAAATAGAAGTGTAATGTGGATGAGCCCCACGGCAAAGAGGGCCTCGGTGCGTTCAATGTATTGGCTGTAGTGAATGAGGGTGGAAAGAGCTTGATGTAAGTGGAAAAGTTGGTGGAGTGAAGTGTGGTGCGGCTGGCGTTGGCTGGAGCATGCGATGGCAGCGCCCACGCTGACGATGTGTTGGAGGCTCTTTATCGAGAGCTTGTTAACCCGAATCAGGGGGAGGCCGTAGCGGGTAGCGGCCTCCTTAAGCTGATCGGTGGAAACCTTGCTGGTTTGGAGCAGGCGCAAGATTTCCTGAGCTGCCTCCTGTACTTTGGGTTCAAAAGTACGCATCCACTGTTGGATGGAGGGCGCGGTCCAGGCTTCTGGGGCGTCGTCCTTGAGGGTGGGGTAGGTCCTTCTTGGGGGTGAGCTCCAGTCCGTGCGCTTGGAGTTTCTCACGGGCACGGGCAAGATCATCGGAGGTGGCCTTGAGCGCTCGAAGGGCGGAGCCTTCGGCAACAGCTGGGGCGTGGGCTTGCAGCTGGTCGGTCAGGAGTGTGATAAGTGGACAGTGGAATGCTCGGGCTTGTGTTGTTTTGTTGGGGATGGTGGTGCCGGCCTTTGTGTGCATGGCCTCCGCGATGGCGTCCAAGTCCAGGCGCTTATCGCGGATCTCCTGTAGGAGGCTGGGGCTGTGCTTGAAAGAGGTATGGGTTGGCGTTGTAGGAGAGGCTGTAGGGAGTGGTGGTGGTGGTGGTGGCGGACTGGTGCCTGTTGTTGGTGTGTGGGATGGTGGCGAAGTCGAAGGCGGTGGTGTGTAAGGATGCGACTGATGCTGTTGGTGTGTGCGAATCGAGTGGCTCATAGGGCCGTAAGTGGCAGTTGGAGTGTATTGAGGGGCTTCAGTGCCCGAGGTGAGCTGGTGTTGCTGCTGCTGGAGCAGGTAGTGGTTCCAACAGTACTGCTGCCATTGTGCGTCCATGTTGATCACAGGTGGAGGGCGATGATGATGGCGGGAAGCGGACTGTTCGAGCAAGAAAGCTAACGTGGAAAAGAAGCTGCTCAAGCCTTGAATCGAATAATGACTACACAGCAAGCTGTACATGCAAGAAAGCAGAGTGATGACACATGCGGTAAGTTTTTTATATATAACTGGTCAGCCTAGCTGCGCGAGTAAAATTGACAAAAAGTCGTAAGAACGTGGAAAGCTTGATTGAAAAATGCCATGTCTCGTGGAGCAGCCTCGGAGTTTTTCGTGGTGCGAGTGAAACTGTTGGTATGAGCGAAAGATCAGTGAGGCCACAACCAAGTACGGTAGGATAAGTTCAGTGAAATTAAGTGGAATGATACACACCAAAAAAGAATTGGAAGGCCAACGTGGACTCATCGAAGCTATTCACTGGGGCTGCTCGTCGGCGCCGTAGTTATTCCAAGGGTCATTCGCCGGGTCATAATTCTGAGCATGGAGCGGTAGCTGTCGGCCCGAAGCGTCGTAGAGATGGGGGTTGTTGTAGATGAGCTGTGGGCCAGGGTGGACCTGCGGGATGTGCTGAGGAATGTGGAGAGCCGGTGGTGCAGGTTTTGGCACTGGATAGGGCGCCGGCCAAGCGTGGGCTGTAGGTTGAATGGAGGCCGGAGGTGTGGGAGGGACAAATGGAAGGTGAATGGTGGTGTGGG